ACATGTTTGAGCCCTTGCCTCGCAACGCTGCCAGTTCTGTTAGCTCTACGCCTGCTGAAGACACAGACGTCCATCCCTGTGAACACTGGGACGGAACTCAATGGGAAAGGAAAGGATTCTGATTTCAACCGTTGCATATATTAGCTGCAACATATGAATCAAGATGCTATGACCAAAAAAAATTGATTGACAGCTAACCGTTGATATATGATTGGCTGAATTTAGGTGTTCAGGCTGACGTATAACTAACTGGCCTGCAGAAGATAATGGGGGAAAAAAGGTTTTTTCTTTTTAAATAGAAATTTTCTAAATTTTGGACAACATCATCTGATAAAAAGTACATTTATATACATGTTTAAGCCGGTATGATCTGACATTTAAATCTGATATCACTACAACCTTAGACAGAGGGGCTGGACTCCGATTTCAGCTTTCAAAACCTACAGTACAGCATTTGAGTTGATTCCTTCCCGCTATCATTGCATGGCCTACAATCTCCCCTAACGACCCCCCTTTCAGAAAACATAGACAGGTATGGGGCATTGCAGGCTAACAAAGAAGCTAAACGACCCCCATTCCAAAGGGGTGGACCCATTCATCCGTTTCTATTTGCATGTTTTCTAAACAAAAACAAGGCTTTGTTGTGCTACTGTATAAAATCTGAAACTCAACGCTATTTCTGACATTTTGAATTGAAAAAGCTTCCTGGATGGGAAGAGAAACGTCTTCAAACTTGGAAACAAAATCCAGTGGATTGTTTTTTTAAACTTTTTCGGAATGACTGTTACCTGGACGGCTGAGAGTGTTCACCAACTCTCACAACTGCTTGTGTCGAACACATCCCTTATTATCAAAGTCAACAAACGTAAAAGCTAGAGAAAATTCCTAGATGCGTTTAGCTAGCACAGCATCACGTTAGCATTGAGCAGCATGAGGTTTAATTAGCTTAGCGGTGTTTCCTGTCCATTAGCTCCTTTCATGGATAGAATTGTATCAAGTAAGTTTACAGCTTATTATAAAAAAAAAAGAAGTAAAAAATACCGTTTAAGTTACTGCAGTATAATGTCCCTTTGGGATTATTAAAGTATTTTTGAATTGAACTATTAACAAGCTAACATAGAGCAGAACAAAAGGATAACAGCATTTCTTTGAGAGTTCATTACTGCTACAAAAACAACAAGCTGCTTCAAACTATTTCAAAACAAGAATCGTTCCATTATGATACATCCCAAAAGCCTCTTAAAAAGGTCTAAGTCATAAAGTCTAATCTAACGGATATGTAATGATAATGCTAATGCTAACGCTGCTGTGAAGCGTCGGGATGCCGTGTTCAGAACAGCAGATTAAAAATCTCTTTGGATTAAACTCAATCTGAAACTGATTAAAAGTTACCACAGATTATATTATATTTCACAACTTCTGTAAAATTATGACCTTTAACCCTAATCTGATTATTGGATTAAACTGTTATCTGATTTTCAATCCAACATAATGAATTAATTTTTGGGGGAATTCCTGTTTATCTGTTTTCACATATTATGATTGTTGCACTATATATTATTTTTGGAGGTAACTGGTGATATTTTAATAAATCAAAGTGTATTATTGTCTGGGTAGGAAGCATTAAAGGTCGCCGCTCCTCGTACCTGCTGGCCATCACCACGGAGCGATCCAAGTCCTGCGACGAGGGACTCAACACCTACAGGGAGGAGGGCCGCGTCATGTCGTGAGTTAATAACTTACAAAAATCCCTACTTGTAGTTTAGATCAACTTCAACAAGTCATGTTTTATCTAATTTTATATAATTATAGCCATTGGCAAATCATGCTATCTACCTGCACCATTTAAAACACACTTATATAAGGACTTTCTAGTTGTTTGTAGATTATTATTTGCAGTGAAACTTCAAACAATGTCACTAAGAGAGCTAATATAGACGATGCAGAAAAAGGTGTTTCACAGTAATCTGTGAAATCTTGCTTTTCAGTTAGAGAGCAATATTTAATAGTGGAATTATATAAAGATATAAACTGCTATGGAGGGAAATCTGATGTAATATTGAAAGCAAAGAACACAATAAAAAAAAAGGAACATTAAAGAACATTATTTCAAAAAAGACATCAAAAAAAATGTCTCAATCAAAATAGGTTTTGAGAAAACTTCTATTTTTTCAGAATTTATTTGATCAAAGCTTTTTTCAGATTCTATTTATTCATTGTTTTTTATAAAAAATTTGTATGTATATCTATTGATTTTTTCGTGTTTTTCAGTTTTTATTTCTCTTTCATTTTTCTGACATCTTGTTTTTGAAAAAGAAAATTTGGATTCAATATAAAAAAAAAATCATATTTATTATTATTTTTATTATTATTATTATTATTAGGTTGTTTTTGTTTTTTTCCCCATTTAATTTTTACATTTTTTTACATCCTATTTTTTTTTAGATAAATATTATTTTAAAGTCTCTTCTTAATAACAAACTTATAATTATAGTTTTTGTGTCTTTTTTCCCTTTTTTCCTCATTAAATTCTTCTATTTTTTTTTTTTTTATCCTATTTCCTATTTTTCAAAAAAACCTGCTGGGAAAGATGAAGTTCCTTTCAGTGTCCTTTCTACTCGCAAGATTTTTCTCAGAGGCTACACTTGATAATGAATTCCCTTCACATTATACATTTCAAATATTAAAAACCTGCTGTTTGCTTTCATTAATTTTGGAAAAATATCTCTCCATAAGCCCCCGCAGGCTGGAGCCTGATAATGAGATTCATTTTAACCTAATGCCGTTTCCAGCAGCTGTAAAAAAAAAAAAACATTTCTATACGAAAATGTGATGTAACACCGAGGATCTGTTTGGCAGATGTTAGTTTTTAATGTTTTTTTTTTGTGTGTTTTATCTGTCCAACAGAAAATTACCAAAAAGAGTGAAGAGCTTCTTTGCTGAGGGGGTGAGTTACTGGAACGGGTTTAATTTGTAAACCAGGTGAAAACATGGAAAACTCTTAACCTCTCGCCTGTTAATCCAAAGTCTTTGGACAGTTTGCGAGCGCAGGAGGACGCCCGCTCCAAACGCCACTCTACATCAGAGCTGGGCACCATAACCTTCAGCGATGTTCGCAAGGAGGGCTGGCTGCACTACAAGCAGATCCTCACCGAGAAGGGAAAGGTACGTCTACCTGCTGCTTCAGACGCCTTGGAAGGCTTTGAAGATGTACAGAGAGAAATATTATTGAAATAAGAAAAATAAAACTGAAAAACGTCGTTTTAAAAAAGGATTTGAGATCAATTTATATCAGCCACTATAAAAATCCATTAAAAAAAAATAAATAAAAAAATTTTGAATTAATTTAAAAATTAAAAAAATTATAAATCCATTGATTTCAGACTCTTTTCCCAAATATATTTGTTTTGTTTTTTCAAGAATCAATTCTTTTATTTCTCGATTGTTTATTCAGATTCTTTTTTTTTTTTCCAGATCTTATTTATTAAAATGTTTTCTCCTTTTTTAAAAAGTTTTTTCAGATTATATTTTTCCATATTTCAGAAGTATAGACGGTGAAATCAGTAAAACAGGATTTCAAAAGAATTCAGTTTGTAAAACTATATTTAAAAAACAATCAAATTAACATTTAAAAAAAAATCTGAAAAAATATTGGAAAAAAAAACATTTGGAATATAAATAAAATTTGAATTAAAGAAACCGAAAAAAGTTTAATTTCAAAATTAAAATTTCAAAAACTACATTTTAAAATAAAACCTGAAGAAAATGAAACAAAACAGAAAATCTGAAAAAAGAAAATGTTTGACAAAAGAGAGAGGAAAAATGAAATCGGAATTGAAAAAATAATTTAAAAATAAAATAGGAAAAATGACATTTGTAAACTAAATCTGAAATAAATAAATCCTGGAAAAGAGTTTTCAGTGACAGTGTAACTAAATAACCTTCTGATGTATTTTCCGGAGTTTTCCGGAGTGCGCTGACCGTTCTATCCCAGCAGAGGTTTAACTCCGCTCCTTGTTTCTATAGAAGGTGGGAGGCAGCATGCGGCCTTGGAAACGTGCCTTCAGCGTCCTCCGCCATCACTCGCTCTTCCTTTACAAAGACAAGCGGGAGGCCGTGCTGCACGCCGCGGGGGCCGGCGGCAGCCAGGACGAACACCCGCCCGTCAACATCCGAGGCTGCCTGATCGACATCGCCTACAGCGAGACCAAGCGAAAGAACACCCTGAGGCTGACCACCCAGGACTTCTGTGAGTATCTGCTGCAGGCTGAAGACCAGGACGACATGCTGGCATGGATCAGGGTCATCAGAGAGAACAGCAAGACGGATAACGAGGTGAGAAAGAGATCAGAGGCTCACAGGTTCCCCGCTCATCTACTCAGGCCTCATTTAGGCTTTCCCTTCCTTCCTTCCAGGAGATCGGTATCTCCAGACAAGCTCTCATCAATAAGAAGCTGAACGACTACAGGAAAAACAGGTCAGCGTGGGCCGCCATGTTCAGGGAAAAGTCTTTCGTTTCCATCTGTAATCAGGTCACTGTGGGCTCGAAGCTTGTCAAAACCATAAT